CAGTAAAATGTGCCTTGCAAACAACAGCTGATTGAGATGGACTCCACGATTTCATCGTGTTCTCGTCCAATCTGCGTATGGGCCATGGCGTTGATCCAACTTTTCCTTCTTTTTAAGTCATTTGGAAATGCATGTCCTCCTCTAAAATGACATCCAGGTACACAACAACAAGTACTTGGCATCGTTAATTAAAAATGTAACTGAAATAGTTGCACAGTGCAGAAACCGGAAGTTGAGGAACAGGATCGGCTACCACGGCGCCACCTATTCAGGAACGATAATTTGCTACTTTATATAACTGCGAAATAACAATAACGTTAGACGGGTTCACGTGCATAAACAGAAATGCGCTTTAAATTGTATAATATAATTCATGTTCAGTCGACCTTTAATTATTATATCAACGACTGAAATGATTTATAAACATATAGATTGCAGATAACACTCGAAATTAACCCGAGCTCTTTCCACACGGAATTCAAATAATTCTAGTTTGTCAATCGGTTGACTGCTTATAATGCAAAATACAAATATATCAAAAGTTTTTAAAACTAACAAAACACAATGATCGTTTCTCAATTTCCCAATGTAAATGAAATGAAACAAAAAACATTTTATATCACAATAAGAAGAGGAGAGAATTCAACATTTCCGGATCTACTTGGAGCCTAACGACCCCCCACGTAGATAAGTTGGATATCGCGGAAGGAAGGATTAACCCGGCAACTAGAAAGGCATTAAAGCACTGCCTTTAAAAATATGATAATTTTCTGCCATTTGACATGTTTGATAAACAGAAACAGCCCTGTACATGTAGACAGGGTCGGTCTTTTCACCACTGAACACTCCAAAAGACCACAAACCTAAGGAAAACACTAATATTTCACAATAAAACAATAAAACATATAAAAATTACGTAAAATTTAATCATATTATCATTTTGTTTATATATTATACATGTTATATGCATAATAGTTGAGAATTAAAATTGACAAAAAACGTTTTCGTTTAGGATTCAGCAAAAATACTTTCACATGACTTACATTAAATATATTATTTTTATGTCTACTTTTCTGTTTTCAATTATATAAAATCATGATAGTGAAAACATTAAATTTAATTTGAGATTATCACAATCATTATTTAAAAAAAAATGTTGTTAAGACTGAATGTGTACTGTTCTGGCCCTTGTAAGACCAGTCGAGAAGACTGTTCGTTTTGATTCTCTGGTTATTATTTCTTTTTAATCTATTATGTACAAAGTATTCATCATTCATGTCATTGTTCAGAAAGTAAGTCAAATATATACATGTAAATACATGAAATAAAGATGAAAACAATATAGTTAAGTGTTAGATGGTATTTTAATGTGTTTGGCTGTGTGCAGTGGTGTTAGGTGGTGAAAAGACCTACCGCATGTAGATGAATCTGGAGTCAATCATTATTTATGATTAACTTGAGACTTCGTTTTTATGCCAGTTCTCAAGATCAAAAGAAGAGTGGTTGATTGCTGATTACAGTTTTAAGTCATTTAAAATGTTTAATAAACCATTTTGATTTTAAAGTGTTGCTTTCCATAAATCCTTAATACTAGTTTGTTTATGCTGTGACGGCTAGTGTGAATTTGACAGTTTGAAAAAAGGACACGTTTTCAGGTCTTCTTAAAACAACTGGAATTGTGTGATGAAATTTTTGGATCCTTGGTTTAAAGATCCTATTCCCTTCCAAATTTTCAGTCATGTTTTTGTTTACTGTACACAAGGTAACTCAATCTTACTAAGCTAAGACAAGAGGTGGACAGGCCAGGACAGAAATCTGTATTCATATGAAAAAATACAAAAGACACATCAACTGACAAAGGACCGGTACCTCGAATGACCAAATAACTCCGTTATTATCCAAATAACACTTGAAATTTTAATATTTCCTGTACGAACTGTGACGCCCGTATATGACACGGAAACCAGGCGTAAAAATCATACTTTATCCAGGCGTCATTGCAGTGTTTAAGGAATGCATGTCCAGGCGTCAACCAGGCGGAAACCAAGCGTAACTGAGGCGGAAACCAGGCGTAAAATTAGGCGTAATATTTAAATGAGTACGCCTGGTCCAGAGAAAACCAGGCGTAATATGCAAATGAGTACGCCTGGTCAATAAATAAACCAGGCGTAATATCCTTACATAATACTACACTTATTTCAAATCAGTGTATTACCCTAGCTGTGTATTTAAGACAAACTTCTGTACTGTTGCTTTAATTTCTCATTGTTTGACATAAAACTGGAAATATTAACCATTGAAGAAGCTAATATATAAATAAACACATTTTAGACAGACACTGCCACTGGCTCAAATAAGTTTAAAGTTTAAATAAGAATTATGACAATTAATTTTTCTTGAAATAAAACTTAAGCATTTTAATTAACTAAGTTTTTTATAAATTAATGTCCTTTAAAATATAATGATAACACTGCAATTTAACTTCATGTAAAAGATTTTAATGTTATTATCCAAGGTTAAAGGTTTTGGGATTTCAAAATTACTGTTTGAACTTAAAACTTAATAATTTAGGTTACACTCACATAATAATTATTTACCATGTTTTACTTTCCATTTTTTCACAATTTTTATTAATCAATTTGATTCCACATTTCCAATTTCCAATTCTTTCAAAAAGCACAAAACAAGCTAATTATCCCTGAACATATGAAGCTGCCATAAGTCCAACTCTTGCAAACTAAAACCAAAGAGCCAAATTTTGAAAAAAATTCCCATGATCCTTTAAACAAAGCATTATGGGTATTATGATTACTCCATACCAACAGTTTTACGCCCGTAAGAAAATTTACGCCTTGCTTATTTCAATTTACGCCAGGTTTACCACTTTTTTCTAAGCCCGTAAGGACTACAAATTTACGTTTCCTGCTCCCTTACGCCTGGATCTAGACACGTAAGTACCACTTACGCCTGGTTTACGCCTTATTTCCAGGCGTAATACGCCTTATAATTTCATACGGGTAGCACATATTGGTGACATTTAAACATTGATTATTAAATAATATCATATTATAAGTGTATTTTATAACTAAAAAATGATTTACAGAAAGCAGGTAAGTTCATAAAGATCCTTATAAATATAGTGTGTACATCAAACATGGCGAACAAGGAAAACACAATGGGAAGAATAAAAGAATGATTGCATATGCATTCAAAGGGAAATGCTATGAAAATAAAGTATTTAATAATGTACTGTATATACAGAGTATTGTCCAATAATTGTTTTTCAGTAAGGTTTTGAAAAGTTAACAAGTACATCAAAGCCATGCAATTACACCAATCACCTATTAGTTTTGTTAATGATTTACTCAACATATGCTTTCTGTAAATCATTTTTGAGTTATAAAATACACATATGATATCATATTATTTAATAATCAATGTTTAAATGTCACAAATACCTGCTAATATTAAAATTTCAAGTGTTATTGGGTCATAACAAGCATGACAAGTGTTATTTGGATAATAACGGCGGTCTCACTAATTAGCGACAAGAAGCGACAAGAAGACTATTTAGCAACAAGAAAACTTAATAAAAATATTATTAAAATAAATATATTAAAAAAATATGCATAGACATTTTTATTTTGATATACGGAAAGTGAAGAGATTTTCATTTTTTTTTTTAAATATATTGATAAATATAGAAATTTCCCTGTCATAGTATGATATTAATTTTTACATGTTCTTGTGTTTTAGAACAATAATATATTTATTTTATAAATTTTTTAACACTCTCTTTGTCTAAAATATAATAAACTGACTGCATGCAAAATGCATTATAAGTGAATCAGTGTCCAGAAAAGATAATGTTACTAAAACGTGAATATTTTATTTGGGTATTGACTTATCAAACGATATGTATGATATTTATGCATAGTTTAAAGTTGATTGAAGATTAAAGGTAATTAAAGACAATGTTGAGTGTTCAACAGTTGCTCACTATTTACAATTATTGTATATTCTGGCGCGTGTAGTTGTATAGTCTGACGCGTGTACAAAGTTATAGGTGTTAATTGAATGTTATTGTTGCAATACAATAAGGGACACACGTCCTTTACTCCAACCATGATTCTAATTTGTTCATCCTTAAGCGTCATTATGCTTCTATGAAAAGAAGTAATTCTTACAAGAAAATAATCAGCTGGTTCGAATAAAAAGCCTGGCCATTCTCTTGAAACCACGAATAAAGCAATAGCAGAATACATAAGTAACTATCCCATTAAACAAACAAAATATTGCTGATGATATATGCAAGCTGTCATCAATATTAATTCTTTGAAAGAAAATGTTCAGATCACAGGCAAACCTCCAAATGTTATCTTGACTCATTAATTTCTTCATCTATCAATATAATAAAAAAAATGAAAATCTCTTTATTGCTGTCAATGCATATTTTTTTAATATATTTATTCTAATAAATTTTTTTTAAGTTTTCTTGTTGCTAAATTTATTCTTCTTGTCGCTTCTTGACGCTTCTTGTCGCTTCTGGACGCTTCTTGTCGCTAATTAGTGAGACCCTAATAATGGTGTTATTCGGTCATTCGTGTTACCCACAAAGGACTGATCTAACATAAGAATCACTAGTTGAACATGCTGACAAATAAAAAGATCTTTTGGTCATATTTGTCCACAAATCATACCTTCTCATTTTCTTAATTATGATTTAGAATGTTTTTTTCCAGTATGGCAGTAATTAGTACAAACATTATTTAAACAACGTTGTATTAAAGTCAGTATTGGTATCAACAACATACTCATACAGATACAGAACGTGAAAGGGATATTTATGCTTATGAACAATCGTGGTACCGAGTTATGTAAGCAAGCTCAAACTTCACAAAAACATCCCCGAAAAGAAAAACAATAAAACATGAACCGGCGATCCTATATTCATTTCACTATTATTTGTTTCTGAGGTTTCTTTAGGTAAATGTTCTAACCTGATGTACCATTTTGATTTATTTTCCTTTTAACCATAATCACACAAAATTTTTGAAGTCGGCGGGAAAGGAGGGGAATCATTTACATGGGGGAAAGAAACGTTATCATTGTGCGTAGAAACGATGAACGTAATTTGTAACTTTCTTTCTCCTATGTGGGAGAACCAGAGACCTATAATACATTTAGTATATATGTCTCTAGGGACGGTCTCACTAATTAGCGACAAGAAGCGACAAGAAGCGCCAAGAAGCGACAAGAAGAAAAATATTAGCGACAAGAAGAAAAAAAATAGCGACAAGAAATTTCATTTACTATTAAAACGATAGATTAGTAAATAAATTATCTGATTATACTAAGGATCCATAAAATATAGAGAAAAATGGCAATTAAAATTTTTTAAACATTAAAAAATTACCCCCCTTTTCTCCAAACATTCATTTATACCTTCTTTTTGTTTTATTAATAATGTAAATATTTGAACCTTTTATCCTGTTAAGACAGAAAAATTTGTGTCATGTATTTATATATATGTATTGCCCTTTTGAGTCTGAAATAAATAATTTGGTTTGAATCTTAAGTTTGATACACCATAGATATAATAGCCATCTATGGATACACCAACCATGCCGACTGTACATAAATATTGATTCATTCATCTATACGCTATGCTGTAAACTGAAGGTACCCCTTACTGAAAAATCAGCCTCCTGCAAACATTTGCTGCAAGTCTGCAGCGAACTTGCTGCAGACTTGCAGCGAACTCAGAGTCTGTATTTGCGGCATGTTTGCTGCAAATACGCTGCAGGTCTGCCGCAAACAATTTACCATGTAAATGAGTGTTTGCTGCAGACTTGCTGCAAACATTTATATGCAAATGAGTGTTTGCTGCAGACCTGCTGCAAAACATTTTAATGCAAATTAATATTTCTCCTGCGTGTTTGCTGCAGACCTGTGGCAAACATTTATATTCAAATTAATCTTTCTCTTGAGTGTTTGCTGCAAACTTGCAGGAACTACATATGTTATACAATCAACCAATGCCATGTTGTGTACACATTACATTATCTATATTACACAGCAATTCTGAAAAAGTCATGTTACATACATACATACAATAGTTCAAATACTTTATCATTTGAAAAATTATCATAGCATAAGTTAATACCTTTTAAAATTTAATTTAAAGTGGTTTTTTTTTGTCGTTCAAGTACGTGCTCAAATGAATTGCATGCATGAATATCTAAAATTCAAAAAAAGGGTTTCTTTGAAATTTAGTTTGTGCATGTATACAGCTTTTTAATTTAGAATAGTCACAAAATTCAACTTATTACGAGAAAATATTTAATAAGTTACAATCTCCAAATATATTAGAGAGTACTGTATGGTTACATATTTGAAAATGTTCTTCAAACCTTCATGCATGCAGATATTTGTGAAGGAGACGAATTTCATAAGTTTACACTTCTATGAATAATTTGTACTTACAAAATTAATAATGACTTTGAAAACTAAAATTTTAATTTCCAAACTAAAATGCCTCCCTGAACACCAATATATATCATGACTCAAACACCATCAACATTTTCAAATTTCAAATCTTTATCTTCCAGGAAGTTACCAATAGGCATGCTCAGTCATTTTTTTGTAGTTCTTGCAATGCTCTTGCAAACATTTAGAATTGTCAAATATTTCTGCAATCTAGCTGCGAACATCCCTTATATTCTAGTTTTTCCTGCAATCCTACTGCAAACATATTTGTTTCTGCAAACTTGCCGCAAGCTTGCAGCAAAAAGCTGCAATGTTTGCAGGAGGTTTGCAGCTAGCTGCAAACATCTGCAAACATAATTCAAAGGGTTCCTGCAAGCTTTTTGTTTGCAGCAGACCTGCAGATCTGCTGCAAACATTTCAGTTCTGTAAGGGACATTATCTTAAGCATATCCTTGATAATGAAAAAAAAAACAAAGTTTATCTCTTGGTTCTCGTATATTAAAAAAAAAGACAATTTTACTATGCTTCAAAAGTTATTTATTTAGAATAATTGATATTTATTTTTTTTACGCTAAATAAGTTTTCTTGTAATTAAATTATACTTCTTGTCGCTAAATTATTCTTCTTGTAGCTAATTTGTTTATTCTTGTCGCTTCTTAATTGCCGCTTCTTGCCGCTTCTTGTCGCTTCTTGTCGCTTCTTGACGCTTCTTGTCGCTAATTAGTGAGACCCCTCTGGGGAGAACTAACAATAAAACGATGAAAAGGTGTTAGGGTTCCGTTTTGTACATGGTTCACTTCGTCTAAATTCTTTACAGCATTGCACCTCTGGGTAGTGCCGACGATTTGGAATAAGAATCCATCACAACTCGCCCCACTGCCAAATCGCCGCACTTTTTCACCAACTCGCCCAACTTTATACCTACTCTCCCCACTCTGGTTTACCAACTCGCCCCACTTATGAAAAAGGGTAAAATCCCGTTGAATTTAGTCCTGCCAACTCGCCCCACTTATGATAAGGGAAAAATTCCGTTGAATTTAGTCCTGCCAACTCGCCACACTGATGAAAAAGGGTAACTGAAAATCCCGATGAATAAAAGTCTATTAAATCGCCCCACTAATGAAAAAAGAATCAAACCATACTGCATTAAAGACTACCAACTCGCTCCACTTATGAAAAGGAGTTTAATCCCGATGAATAAAGGTCTTCCAACTCGCCCCATTTAAAAAATAATTGAAAACTGATGAAGACCTTAGAAATGCACTTTGTTGTTTTTTTACTTCTTTTCTTTTGGTTGAAACAAAGCAGAAAGAAGTAAGTATCAGCATTTCTGTGACGTACGATAAAAAGTAAAATATATTAACAAAAATACAAAGGATTTGTATAATACTATACAAATCCTTGAAAATACCGAACTCCAAGGAAAATTCAAAACGGAATTAAAGTCCCTTATCAAATGGCAAAATCAAAAGCTCAAATACATCAAACGAATGGAAAACAACTGTCATATTCCTGACTTGGTACAGACATTTCCTTTTGTAGAAAATGGTGGATTAAACCTGGTTTTATAGCTAGCTAAACCCCTCACTTGTATAACAGTCGCATACAATTCATTATATTGACAACAATGTGTGAACGGAAAAAAACCCAGACATAATAGGTAGAAATGTCAAAATAGGGGTACAGCAGTCAACATTGTGTTATAATCTTAATCACTATAAAAACAAACAAATATATCAACACAGAAAAACGATGTTATTGAGCATTGTAACTGTTTATGACATTTAGTTTTCTGGTAAATATAAAACACTGTTTTACAAGAGAAGCAATTATAATGCAAATAAGTAAGCTTGCAATAATAAAGTTATTCTCCGCAAATAAATACTACAATTACATGTAATGATAAATAATGTATCTACACTTTGATTTCAATCAGAATCATATATTAAATTTTCTAATGTTTTCACCTTAGTGGTTCACGGTTACAACATGTTCTGGAAAGCTGTTCCATGTGTCTAATACTCTGTTGGTAAAGAAGTGTTTACGCACATCTAATTTGCATCTTTGTTTGTTGATTATAAATTTATGTCCTCTGGTTGTACTGGTGTATATATTAAACAGATCGTTAGTCGCTTTACTGTCTTATATTTCGGCTAATATTTTGAAATTTTCTATCATGTTCTCACGCATTCGTCTAAATTTTAATGTTGGCAATTTCAAAATTTGTAGTCGTTCTTGTTGAAGGCCGTGCGGTGACCAATGGTTGTTAATTTCTGTGTTATGCTGTAGTAGTCTAACCTCATTTTCGGATTTAATCTCTCTGAACAACTTAGTATCATCAGCAAATAGGAACACCTCTGATATCACACTTTCTGGTAAGTCCGTGATAAAAATTACAAATAGTATGGGACCCAGGACTGATCATTGAGGGATCCCACTGGTTACGTTGTGCCAGCTGGAATAATTTTCACAAATGTTTACACGTTATTTCCTATCACTTAGGAAGCTCTGGATCCAATTACAGGTTCTCTCGCTTATACCATACTGCTTTATTTTTGGTAAAGGGCGCTTATGAGGGACCTTATCAAAGGCCTTCATAAAGTCCATATAGATTGAGTGTAGTATTCCTCAATTGTATAAGACTTCAGTCCATCTATCAAGAACCTTAATATGTTGTAGTGATGTTGTTCTCCCACTTATAAAACCAAACTGTTTGTTACTAAATAAATTATGGCTATTCATGTGCTGAACTATGTACAATTCACTGTAAATTTAAAGCATTGGAAGTTTTGTTTGTCTCCTTGCCGTGCTCATTCTGAAACTTATGGCTTCACTGATTTTTAATGAACAACCTAGGTGTTCAAATCCATTGGCTCATTTTTCAATTTAGTTATCAACGGAGTCCATCAACAGATTGAAATTCTTCTTAAATTTGATGGGCTCCGATTTACGATACTTTTAGCCTTTCGCCAACCTTTTACGCTACTTACCAGGTCGATACCGCTGCTGGTGGACTTTCAGTCTCCGCGGGTATCATCAGCTCAGTAGTTAATACTTCGGTACTGACATGATTTATAACAAACTTCTGAAATTGTCCGTTTATAAATTTAGAAATTATTAACAAACTAAGGTTTCAACTCCTCAGGCAAAGATAGATTTGGGTAATATGTAAGGTCCATTTTGTTCATATAGATCTTCAACTGTTTCTATTCTTATACATCATTGGCTTTCAAATATTCGGCTTTAAGCGTTTTTGAGGAAGGTAAATCCAGAAAAGCACTTCGAACGCATGCATGATATGATAACGGTTTACCTGTCAAATTCTAAATCAGCGGGAAGTTCTTTTCCCTCCTTGGTAAAATACATATATGAATAAATATACTAGTAAACTAATTAAAAGATGTGAGGCAATGTATAGTTTTTATATACAATGAAATTGGATAAACGATACAGCTTAGTGATTGTCAAATTGGTCTCATATTTAAAAGTGTGTTTTCTCATCAAAACCATTGATTGAAACCTGTACGAACTGTGACGCCCGTATATGACACGGAAACCAGGCGTCAAAATCATACTTTTTCC